GAAACCGGATTCGTGCCCTAGTTACCACCCTTAGAGGTGGAATATTTCCTTCAAATTTAAATGAGAGCAATACTGAGGTGCTCTCGTTCTAACAAAAAAAGAATCATCAAATTAGTTCGCGAATCGCGTAACACATATACAAAAACCTCCAACTTTTTTGAAATCGGTTAAAAACTACTACCTTACGCAAACGTTTTCCTTAAGACCCGTGGCCAGCAGTGACAAGCATAAAATTACGCTATGGCAAAGATACATACCTTTTGTTTTATTTATAATAATGTTTTATACACATAATACGTGCCATATTTGTAAATAGAACACAAATATGTTTAAAAAATTCTAAAACAACAAAAAAACAACGAAAAACTAAAGCTTAAATGGTATAGCGAAATGTATAAAAAAAACAATCAACGAATAGGTACTCACTTGGAATTGTAATTCAACACTGATGGCAAGACCATCCAACTTCCACAATATATAATCATGTTCGAAAATCATTTTCTTAAAAATAAAAACTTTAACATATAATGCCTGCTATAATAACAAATACTACAGTCGCATGTATATTAAACGAGAAATGTATAAAGAAGCTAGCGTTTGTTCATATTGATAACGTCTTTTGTAAGTGGAGATAATGACCATCAAAACGAGTTTACTGCTCTGTAATGACGTCACAAGTGTTAACTATATAGGTATACCTCGACTGGGACATAAAAATGCTATAGTATGAAATAGTTGTAAACAAAACCTTGAATTTAATTTTGACTCAAATGAGTTCCAACATTTTTTTATTTTATTCGGAACAACAACAGATATAAAACATAGATTTACAATAAATATTTCTAGGTAAAGCGATGTGACCTGTGCCTGACTTACAAAAAAACGTGCATTAAAAAATAAAAAATTTTCAATAAATAAACACAAAACAAGAAAAACAAACCTATTCTATAAGTGATACGCATTGGTCTGTACTGCACTGTATTCAAACTTTAGTTATTTTCTAGTAAGACTGTTTCCAATGTCCTTCTAAAAGTATGACGGAATGTAATGGAAGCGAATTTTTGTAACGATATTGTACAAAGCGTAATGAACTTTATAGTCAATTGTGTAACGCACAAACTAGATACGAGCCAAAAAAAAAGGCGCGCGTCTTCCGGAATTCTCGCGGACGCTCGAGAATGCTCGCGCATTCGCGAGAATTCCGCAGCTGCCGTCGGCGAAGCCTAGCGAATCCGCTGGAAGTGGCGCGAAGCGCAGTATGACGTCAAACGTCGACGAAATACTACAGCCTCAAGGCCCTGTCGTTGGAATACTCAAGCCTTCGCTACACCCCGGACACTCCATACGACAGTCGAAAGTTATTTACCTACTATTACATACAGGAAGGCGCTATCGGTACACGCGCAAAAGTGTGCGTAAAGTGACAGGGTTACCCATCACTTTCTCGTACAATTACGTTACGTGGTCAGAGCGGCAACATAGCGAAAATTCTAACGCGAAACTGTTATTTTAATAGTTTTAATACAATCCTAATAATTATATAATGCTCATTTCATTATTTCACTAACTAGAATAATATTGAGGATTTATTTAAAACATATATTAAAAGCACTTAAAATGTATTTTGGACGGGTACTATTAAATAAGGTAACCAAGGTATTTGAAATTGCGTGTCCATGTTTATCATTACCTAGTTAATAATTAGGTATGTTCACTACGTAATATATATCGGCAATGCAAATTGAAAATTCAAGAACCTTCGTCTCAATAATGATATAATAAATCTGTATTACATATTACTCTGCACTAAATAAACGAAGAAAACAATAACTGAATGAATCTCAGATATAAGTTTTTTTCTCATCTTCGTTTCATCTTTCGGAAAACGAAAGAAACTCCGTGCACCGTACACAACACAATTCAAGACCATTATAAATGGTAACGTACCATGATGTTATATATTAACGTATAAGTTTCGTAATGAATAAATGAAAACTATATTCAAATGTCAAGGCCTACGCGTGAAAACGACTCGCCAGCAGCCTTGTTGTCGTTCCGTCAATGTGACCGTCAATGTGCGGGGCGTGGTGCGGTATCTAAAGCTAGGGAGGGGCGGAGAGTGTCCATTCTTGTTACTTTTTTGTTCTCTTCGCGAAAGTGCTCGAGTATTCTCGTGCGAGGCGAAATTGACGCTTCCATTCCATTTCGTTCCGTAATGTAAATTGAGCCTTAGATGCTACAAACGGATCCAGTGCATACATTTTTTTTTATTAAGTATTACGCTGTCTCGTGTGTCCCTGTGTGGGCACATCCAATCAGTATCACGCGACGAGCCGTTGGCGCGAGTGGACAAGATGTTACGTCATGCATAACAGTGCCGAGCCAGTGTTGCAGACAGGAAGCAAACATAACAAATAAGAACAAAAAATAGTTAATGCCTGGTTCGGCGCTTCGGCATGGACAGTGAGATCTTTGATAGGAGTTCAGGGCTATCGAGCCGCCCTCGTAAGACGTCAATAAGAAGACCCAGGTCCATCACCATACGCCTTTATTCCAGAGTCAACAGATCAATAATGTCTGCAGTTTTCGACGTATGACCCTGTATCAAAGACCACAAGTGAATATCTATATTATTTTACAAAGAAACAACAAGTGAACGGACATTATTTCACTTCTAATTCCTAACGGTGTACCATTGAGACGTGTAAAGCATTGTTTATGAGTTAAAATTAGATTAGTAATCAATTAAATTAAAATTAAATTGTTTTTTATTTTACATAATTTTTTTATTTGTTCACAAGTAGAGTTTATATTTATATAGATACACCTTGTATCATGTCACTAACTTACTAATTAATTTCTCTGGATTTTTAGTTGCCTGAAAATGAACAGTTTTTTATTTTTATATTTACTTTACATATTACTATGTTACTTTAGTAACACTAGAGCTCAGAGTTCGTCCAGGGAAGTACTGCCACCTTACCTATTTCTGCCGCCAAGCAGTAAGATGAGCATTGCTTCGGTGCTGGTGAAATTACAGGCACATGGAACTTGTCAACTTATGTCTCAGGGTGACGAGCGCGTTGGCAGTGCCCCTAAGATCTTTGCGAAGTAAAGCTCTGAGTGGCATTGCAACTGTTATGGACAGGCGTGTAGCTTACCATTAGGTGCACAACTTGTTCATCCCGTCACTTAAGATTATAAAAAAAGTCCAGTTCCTGAATCGATCGCTGCAGCTCCGCATCGGTGCCCCTCAGGTTTGTGCCATTGTCTGAATAAAGGTGGCGCGGCCAGACGCGTCTCGTTACAATCCGTCTCAGCCCCTTAATAAGCGAGTACGACGTCAAGGAGGAAACCAATTCGATGTGGACAGCGCAAAGTGTAAAGCAAGTAAATCCTGTACCTAGTTTTAATACCAGTAGAGCTCCTTGTGAAAGAGTTCGTCCAGGGAAGTACTGTCACCTTACCTATTTCTGCCGCCAAGCAGTAATGTCAGCCAATCGAGTATATAACCAGGAATAGAGATGAAATAAGGGCCATACAGTCCTGGTAACTCATCAGTGATACATCACTTATAAACATCAACTCTCATTTGCACTTAAATATAGCAGCGCCAACAACTGACCTGTGTATACGTCTCCGTATATTCCAAAAATATTCTGTACTTATTGTAATAAAGAGAATATCTCTAACAACGGCGTGCTGTTCTATTCGGCGGTGTGGGGAAAAACAAAACATCTAATTACAAAACAAACGGAATCAAATTTCATCGTTAATTAAATATTAGATATGTAATTTTCGTCCATTATAGCAAAGCTCAAGTTAACTGGACGATTTGAAGTGAAACAATTGACGACTCCCGTCAATTGTTTCGAATTCGGCCTGGCCAATCGGAGTGCAGTTGTCACAATAATGACATGGCAGAATAGTTTTCAAACAAATTAAATGACATTTCGTCTCTACTTCTGGTTATATACTCGATGTGTCAGCATTACTGTTTTCCGGTTTTGAAGATTAAGGGGGCTGTTGAAATCACAGGCACATGGGACTTGTCAACTTATGTCTCAGGGTGACGGGTGCAGTGACAGTGGCCCTCAGATCTTTGCGATTTAAAGCTCTGAGTGGCACTACAACTGTTATGGACCGGCGTGTAGCTTACTAGCAGTTCGTCCCGTCACTTGATATTATAAAAAAAGCTATTAAAATATTGACCATGTTGTCAACAACTTTGACAAAATCTGCGTATCGATAGATGGCATTGTGTGTTACAAACGAATTTATAAATTACCGCTAGCTAATATGGTTAGATGGCGCTAATCCTAAACAAAAAAGAATAACGGTCGTAAAAATCCGCTTTAGCGTGAATGACGCTCTGTATACGATGTTAACGCCCTATAAGTTCGGACACTTTTTAGCGCGGACCCGACGTCCACATAATTGTAAGTCAATTGCTGTAACAATACACAGGTAAATGTAAAAAAAACAGGTACAACAGTATAAAACACTCCCTACAATATGATTAAGGCACTTACCCCTAATTGGGTCGAGTAACTGAATTACAGATATACGTACATGCAGGCTGTAGACTGTTATAAATTATTACACACGATTTAGCTTATTTAATGATTATAAACGTAGTTAAGAACCAAAATTAGCGATTATACGCGATGGAATTTGAAACAGCTCCGACTTTTGTGGCGGTCGAGCAGGGAGTGACCGTGGTACGAAAACAAACCATTCGGCCACAGAGGCAGTTGAAAACATACAGTCCTTGCTCAAAAATATTAAATTATTTCTTCCCTTTTATTTTTAAAAACATTGGGCCGGTAGGAAATTGTTTAAATGTCAGTAATAAACTTTGTCCTATTCATAAATTTTAATGATCTTTCACGGGAAGTGAGTATTCGTTTTCCATCGATTCTAAAAAATACACTTTTTGAGTTAATACACTATTGTATTGTACTAACAATGCGATATGTCAAAAGAAATGTTAAACAAAAATTTTAATTCTTTTATATTAAACAATCTTTATTTGAATAACATTATCATTTATTACTACCTTGGCACAAACTTCACGTAAATAGGATCAATGGAGCGTAAAACTAGGTTTAAAACGAGCTGAGGCCTCCAGCCCTTCTGCTTCGGTTCCAGCTTAAAGTTGCGGCAAATCTCACTGAGCACGCACTTCATCTCCTGCATCGCGAAACGTTGACCTGCAAAGAAGATTATATGTTAAAACAACACCCTAGGTAATATTTATTTTTAACCGATTTTAAAAATGGAGGAGGTTCAGCATTTGTGAATCGATTTTGACGATTCTTTTTTGTTAGCAAGAGGATACCTCAGTATTGGTCTCATTTAAATTTGAAGAGAATATTCCACCTCTAAGGGTGACAAACTAGAATTCAATAAAACTTGGCAAATAAATGTAATTCCAAGAAACGTTTGAGATCGTTTTTTTTAATTTATTTGTCAAATAATAGGGTCCTTTTTTAAAAAATATTCCATCACTAAATGCCACCCTTAGAGGTGGAATATTTGTTAGAACTGTCCTGAGTTAGTTCGAAATGTAATTTTTATTGTTTATGAGTTACTAATACGCTTTATTAGGAATACTTTGCTAACACAATATTATAAACGTTTGTCCGAAATAAAGATTTGAATTGAATAGTAAAATTTTATACGTAAGAATTAACACAATGTGTCTGAAACCAATTAGCCAAATTACGAACAGAAATAACTCATAAAGCTGGAGAATGTAATATTCTCCTCGTCATACATAAACCGCTTGCCACAAAAGCAAATTCGTCTTCATTACTATGGGAACAGGTACAATTTAAGTCTTAGAAATTTGATGGTTATGCGTATGCGTAGCGGCGTCCACCGACCTCATTATATATATATATACACATCAAGTGACGGGACGAACAAGTCGTGCGCTTAATGGTAAACTACACGCCTGTCCATAACACTTACAATGCCACACTACATTTAGCATTTGGCATTTGACAGTTGGCAGTACCACTGTAGTGTTGAGTTACTCATACACGAGGTAACTCGTTGGTACCACTCGCTTGGTTAGTTTGTCACCACACCTCACTCACTGCTTCGAATTCAACAAATGCAACAATGATTGGTTCTGCACTGCCCGCTTTTTATCTGATATTACATCATATGATCATACTACCATAGTACTATAAAATTAGCATTTATTTAAACTATATCATCATAACACTTAAGTTATCCAATTGATTGATACCATCAAGTTATGAAAATGTGCTTAATATTCTGTTAAGTAATTGCCGTAGGTGCAAACATTCTTACCACTACCTCACCTCATTAGAAGTAGGACGTTGTACCGTCTCATTTTTGCAAATGAGTTACTCCCTCAAACTCATTTTAATTTCATGTCCTACCCAACATATCACTGCGCCCGTTCACCCTGATACATAACGTCGGATGGTGCAATTACGCCTAGCTAGCATTTGATTATGAGTCTCCATTTCGGTAATTTAGGCGCCAAATCAAGTCCGCGTAAATGTCGTGGCAGCCAAATTTACGTGATTTACGGGAATCTATTGTTATCAGTCCGTAGACAACATAAATTAATGCTTACTGTGCAAAACTGAAAATCGTAGCCATTATAATAACAAAGTAATAACATTAAATCCTTCTCCTGTGAAATTTGATTTGGACAGATACGCGCTTTTTACCGATCCTACGCGGATACAGATACGCGGATTTGCACTATACCCGACGAATTAAGTTGACAAGGCCCATGTGCCTGTAATTTCACCAGCACCCTTACCCTTGAAAACCGGAACGCGAACGCAGTAACTCTTGGCGGCAGAAATAGGTAAGGTGGCAGTACTTCCCTGGATGAGCTCTTTCACAAGGACCTCTACTACTACTAAAAAGTAGCAGTGGTAGTAAATGAAGTTTTATTTATACACATTTACAATTCATTCCCGCTATAAATTCATACATATGAAGCCACATGTGACCATATCTCGAAAGTGCTTTCATCACATAAAACATTTAGTAGCGGTTAACTATTTCTGCCGCCAAGCAACAATGTGAGCATTACTGCGTTCCGGTTTTGAAGGAAAAGGTATTCGTGAAATTACAGGGACTTACATGGGACTTGTCAACTTACTCCTCAGGGTGACGGGCGCAGTGGTAGAGCCTCTCAGATCTTTGCGATTCAAAGCTTTATGTGGCACCGAAACTGCTATGAATAGGCGTGCCGCTTCCCACCAGAACTATATGAAACAAATTTTGTACATGTGAAATTTTATAAGTCTCATACTTAGAATAATAGCATAGAAACCTAGCCCGCACACGCTAAGTGAGGCAAATTGAAGCGCGCCCAATGGGCCTACACGAGCGGGCGGGCCTTCAGTGCTCAAGGTCAACTTGCACAGATTTTAGCTAAAAATTACGAAATGTGCGGTAAATGAGTGTAAAAATACGTCACACAAACATAAAATAGATACTAACATCACATTCCACAAGGAAGTAACGCGTTTCAACTTGTATTTTTATATAAATATTTACTAAAACCGAAAATTAACCTGCTACTAAAACTAGCCTACATGAATTTGATTTTTGCCTCACTTGTGACAGTTCGTTTGATATGAAACTATCATTCTATGCGTTATTATTCTAAGGTCTCATATTAATTTAAGCCTATAAAAGTTGTCGAGTAATTTCGTTCGTAGAATTTATTTATAATTACCTCAGTGTTGATCCCATTTAAATTGGAAGAAAATATTCACCTCTAAGGACGGCTAGGGGATTTTCTTTTCTGGTAACCGATTTCAATAACTTGGCCAATAGATGTAATTTCAGGAACTTTTGAAATCGGATTTTTTAGTTCGCTGTACTGAGATCATTGCAATTCCCGTTTATTCATTCGTTTCTAATGTCTTTTGTGAAAGCGATATGTTCTGGTTGGCTAGCGCAAACGGATAAAGTTTGTGCCTACATGTACGTATAAGGGAAGGAAAATAAATTTTGTCTGAGACATTGTTTGAAGCTGCCGTGTTGTAGATAATTCCACGCCGGAGAGCGATCTTGTGGTATCTCGAAAAATAAGACTTTACACCAGGGCGGAAAAACTACTTATTTCAAAAAATTATTTCTTTTTAATTTGAATTAGTAGAAAGTCAATTTTAAAGTCTGATTATATGTATATATCATGCTTTAAAATTGACTTTCTATATTATAGAATTTTACTAAAACCTAATTTTAGTATCTATTTTAAGTTGAGTTGATAGATCAAGAACTGAAGAGGTCTGCCAATTGCGGTATAAAACAGCGTTGTCGGATATTTAGTACGCCGGAAGTAGCAAATAGCTATTTTAGTAAGTAAATTTGTTAATAATTAACGAAATACAATTTATCAAAGCTACTCTAGTGATAACAAACAAATCTACTAGATGGCGTTTACTTCACAGATTTTTATGGATAGTGATTTGTGCCGGTTATACTTTTATTTCGGTTACGATTAACGACATCTACCCTTATTAGTAAGCGGTAATTCTTTTTTTTTACACTCATAGCCCCGCACTAGGGAAACCCTGTATCGCAAGATAAGAAGCGTTTTAATAATTTCATAAAACAAACGAATCAAAAGCCAAACAATACGATAAATAAATAAATAATAATTAGGATCCTCTGAAAATCAGCGTCACAGCCTTGTTCAGGCGGTGACAATAGCTGAGTGGATCCTATTACATACACCACAGCCGCACACATGACATCTCTACTTAGTACAACAATAGTGTTGACTAGCTTTGTAGTTATTTAATTACTTATTACTAAGATTTTATTTTCAATTCATTTTATTTAGTTTTTTTTGTTATACTATTTTCTGTTTGTTTTAATTTTTTTATTTCTTAGTTGTATTATCCTGTTGTGGCGTTATGTAATAAATGGATGCTATTCATCTTTTATATAGCATGTGGTTTATTATACAAAAATACGTAGTGTAGGTGTAATAAAAAATATTTAAAAAGTACGTATTTTTATTTAATAAATCCATTGACTTACAATTACATATATGGACGTCGAGTCCGCGCTAAAAAGTGTCCGAACTTATAGGGCGTTAAAATCGTATACAGAGCGTCATTCACGCTTTAGTCTTCGTTTGTTCGACTGACAGCGAAGCAAGCAAAATTAGACAGTACTGCGATGACATTACAATTTAAATTCATCGTTTTAGCTTTTTCATATTCTTTTACATGTCACTACGTTTAAATGGGTTGACTTGGGACATTTTTTTCGTGGTTTTTGTATTAGACCCGTCGTCCATTTATTTGTAAGTCAATGAATAAGTCAGATGCCCATATAAATGACGCAAACAATTTTTTTCTTCATCCTGCAAAGTTGTCAAAATTGAGATAGTACCAGTTCACAGTCGATATGACATTGACCTTTATTATGCTACTCAAGTGATGTGAAAATTATGACAGATTTATAGGGGATCGCTTCTCGGTCGAAATCGAATTGTGCATTCGGGATAAAAGTCGGGTCAATGACCGCTATATCGTCGCCTTGCTTTGTCAAACTCGTATCTTAAAACACAAAGTTACTGAAATGCCAAAAATGGAGCGTATATACAAATTTTGCGGCTGGTTTCACATGACATTTCCTTCATATTTACCAAGGGTTTTGCCAAGAAACCCTCGATATGTATACTATACCTATACAATTTCTTGGTCCAGCGCTGAAAGGTATATAAGCGTATGGATGCCTGCTCTCGTCATTCAGGAATCTCTCAGGCTTAAACTTCTCAGGTTCGGGAAACAAATCTTCTCTGCGGTGAAGATCGTACGAGTGAATGCCGATTCCTGACCCTCGCTTTACGAAAATATCTCCTGTAAAGATATAATATTCCTTGTAATAATAAATGCCAAGAAGACAAAGTGCGTTAAATTTGAATTACCTAATGTAAAATCGACTATTTCAATAATAAAAATAAATGGAGATAAGTTAGACCTTGTTAATAAAGCTGTCTTTTTGGGAGCGACCTTAGATAGTAAGCTTCAATGGTTTCCACATAAATGTTCCTTAGCCAGCAGATTAAGCTCTGCTGCATACGTAGTCCGTGGAATACGTGAGCTTACCGATGTTGCTACTGCTAAACTAGTTTACTTTAGTTACTTCCATTGTTCACGTGCACGCGACGTAAACAGACAACCTGACCGGACATTTGC